TTTTTTTTTTTTTTTAAAAAAAAAGGCAGGGGGGAGAAACTACTAGGATGTAAACTCCACGTCAGTCAGCTCTTTCATTTCACGTATCTAAATAGGATAAAGGTACTTGGTCAACAATGAGCTGTAGGGTGTAGTGTGAAAAAAAATCTATAGTAGAGGCTATTTGATCTGTGGGCTGTTTTACCCTTGGAAACTAAAGTTAGAGTAACATTAATATTTAAAGGAACCTTCTTTATAATATTTAGCTACTTTCAAATGACCTTCTAGATCTTAAAGCACAGATTTAAAGTGTCAATCAATGGACTCGATGTAGAGATTTTGAACTATAGATGACATTTTAAAAATTAAATTTAAACATGCTGAGATAGATTCATTCATATACAGAAATAATACAGATTTTGTGTACTTCACCCAGTTTTTTCCAATTACAGCATCTTGCAACACTGCAGTACATATTAAAACCAAGACCTTGACATTGACGTTCAGGATACAGAACACCGTCATCACAAGGGTTCCTCAGGTTGCGCTTGTATTACTACACTCCCTCCCCCTTCCCCACTCTGGCCACCACCCATCTGTTCTCCATTTCTCTAATTTTGTGGGCAATTTATTTTTAGAAGCATTTTAGAGACATTTCTCCAACAGTCGGCCTCTGGGAAGAAAAGCTCGTTTAACACACACGGAGTTGATGACTTTTGTTGGTGGAAGCCAGGTATTATATTTACAGATGCATGCGCTTAGCATTGCTCTGTGTGGCTGTGCCAGGAGACAGTGTGGGGTCCTGAAATCCAGATCTCCGAGGCGCCTGTACTGCAGCTCTTCTGGCCAGAAAATGCTCCTGCCAAAGGTTGACGGAATTTTCCCGCTCAAACTGTGCTGCCTCCATGAAGCGGGCCAGCGTCCTCAGTGACCAGTGTTCTGGCCTCCTCTGGACGTTAGGGTAGTTCGATGCTGCCCGTAGCCAAGAGCAGCTGTGGACCAGGAGGGAAGGTGTCTGGGTCACTGCTGCCTTTCTCCTAGAATAGCTCCTGACACACGAGAGGCACCTGATACTAATGGATGGAGTGAATGAATAAGTCATAGGATCATAGGCTGGGAGATCATGTAAGTTCTGTGGCTTATATTTTTGCAATATTTTCCTTGGGAATTCCGAAACCCTATTCTGTAGGTAAAGAACCAGCATCATGATGATGAGATGTTATATATAGCATAAATGCATAAGTGACACTTTTTTTTTTTTTTGCCATAAGACATGTGCATTTGCTGGAGAGAGACAGAGACAGAAAGAGAGAAAGTGAGAAATCACCCCTCAGGAGCAGAGGAGATGGCCAAGCCTCAATCCCTTCTTCATTCTCCTGGGATCTTGGGCACACCCACATGTGCCCAGCATGATTCTCAAGCTGCCAGATCTGGGGTTCAAATCTCTGTCGGCCATATGGGAGTCCAGTGCTTTAACCACCATGCCACCCGCTGGCCCAGATGACACATTTTTAAAAAGATGTCTTAGCCATCCTTTGTAGGTCATTACTTGCTATCTCCTAGATATTATGTCCTTCATCGAATACAGAATTTTCTAACAAATGTATAGTACCCTGATTGTTGTTATTATCATTTATAGCAAATATGTAATCCCCTGAATCTAAAAGCAAACCAGGTAGGGAAGGAGGTCAACATATTTGAATGTTCATTGTGTACTAAAAGTACTAAACATACTTAGGGTACTTCAAAAGTTTGTGGAAAAAGAAAGTATGAATTTATTTTGGTGTAAATGAATTTTTAAAATCTGTTCATAGCTTTTTCCTAATACAAATTTTTCATGAACTTTTTTTTTTCCAAGAGAGAAATTTGTGCTATAGGGTGTATGCTCTCACCAGAGACACAGAGAGACAGAAAGCAAGAAATCACCACCCCGGGGGATGGCCATGCTGTAATATCTTGTCCTCCATTGTCCTGTTAGAAATTTGGGCATGTATGCACACACGCCCAATGTGAGTTTTAAGCCACTGGGTCTGGGACTCGAATTACAGTCAGCTACATGGGAGTCCAGCAACATAACCATTACACCATCTGCTGGCCCCTCCACGAGCTTTTTGAAGATCCCTTTGTGTGTGTATGTGTGTGTGGTGTTTGCATTTACTTTGATTTTTGTTTGTTTGGAGAGTTTTTTGCTATAGGGCGCATGCGCTTGCCAGAAAGAGAGAGACAGAAAGCGAGAAATCACCCCCTGTCTTGGGGATTCATTAGTTTATAGACTATTTGGGGGAATTGATGCATTAATAATACTGAGTTGTCCAGTCTATAAACATGCATAGTTCCTTCTTAAATCTTCTAAATGACTTTCTTTTTTCTTTTTGTTTTTGGAGAGGTTTTTGCCATAGGGCACGTGCGCTCACCAGACAGACAGACAGAAAGTGAGAAATCACCCCCCGGGGGGGATGGCCACACCACAATCCCTTCTCCTCCATTCTCCTCCCGGGATCTTGGGCACACACGCACACGCACCCGGCATGAGTTTTAAGCCACTGGGTCCGGGACATGAACTGCGGTCGACTCCATGGGAGTCCAGCGACATAGCCATTACACTAACTGCTGGTCCCAAATCTTCTAAATGACTTTCAATAAAGTTTTGTCATTTTCTCCATAAAAGTCCTAGACACCTTTTGTTATTTTCATTAGTAGTATCATTTTAAAAAGACTTTCTATTTAACTTTATTTATTTATTTAATTTGACCAGAGAGGGACAGAGGGAGAGCATGAGAGAGAAAGAGAGAGTGAAAGAGAGAAAGTAAGCCGCCAGGTTTGGGACTCAAACCACAATCGGCCATGTGGGAATGGTAGTTAACAGCACTGGGCTGTTAGTAACAGTAGTAATAGTAGTAACATGTTTAACAAGCATTTTTATATTTGACTGTTCGAACAGTTTGCTGTGGGTATGAAGGTACTCAGCTGGGTTTTATATATTCTATATCAAACAATTTTGCTGAATTATTTCCAATAGTTCATCTGTGTTTTCTCTTGGCTTTATAATTGTGATTTACAGAACAGTTACAGAGATTTCAGCATTCCCTATTCTTCATTCGGCTTTCTCAGTTAACTTCCTTATAAAACTGTGGCACCTTGGGAACCAGCAGTTAGCGTAATGGCTATGTCGCTGGACTCCCACGTAGTCGACCGGGGTTTCCTGCCCGGC